GCTTCAGGGCAGTGTAAAATGCAGACTGTGGACTATTGTTTTTAGTGTTAGAAAACGATGGGACTTTTGTTGCCACGTACTCATTTGCTTGGTGAAAACAATAGTCCGCAGTCTGCGTTTTACACTGACCAATTTTGTTTCCTAGCAGCAGAAGAACACTGAGTTGGCTGGATTTTTGGCTCCCGAATGCAGAGAAATCTTTCCCAATATAATAGTAAACGAGGAAAAAGTATTTTCCCATCAGTGTCTTCTAGTTTAGCCATAAAGCTGGGCGGTATTAAACGTATTATATTGTTCCTTGCAATGTACTGATCTGTCATCTCTGACCAAGTCAAGGCACGCAGATGGTTCAAACTAGCAAGATTGTACCGTGCAAAAATTACCTGACATTACCAATATCTTCGGAAGTGAAAAACTACAGAAATCTGCCAGCCACTTTGCCAAAACCGCCACCTCTACAACCGTCCTTTCCTCCTTGGTCAAGCCGAAAGCGCGCTCTAACTCACTGAAAGTGACTTTTTCCGGCTACTTTTTTCACTTTTTTCAACTGACCAGTCCAGCGGTGTTACTCTACTGCGGCTTCATGTAAAACCCAACGTTTCCGACATGTCGACCGTCTATCACCCTCGCTTTCCAGGTTTCCTCACGACTTTGGTCCAGGGTTTCTCTAGCAAACTATTTTACCGAAATTTATCACAAAAAGTGAAAGGGAAAAGGCCAAAATTGACAAATATCAAACAAAAGGACAGTGTTGATATCGAGGGGATTTTAAAAAGGCCTGGAGCAGTTGTCGGTAGCGCCGAACCTCTTGTTGTGGATTCCAGGGAGACCACGAAGGAAATAGAGATTAAAAAGTGGCAAGCCTCACGACAAAGGACAAACTTACTAAAGCAAGGAGAGCGAAGGTGTACCTTTCAAGTTTTTTAAAGTCAGTTTAAAAGAAATTAAGTAACATTTTAATTAAATAACTCACAATTCTTAATAACCTCCCTTAACTTCGCTCCCAGGCTTCTTTCTCATTCCTCTTGGAAGCCTGGGAAAGGGGTAAAATTGCTGATGACTACACCTTTTGTGTCATTCTATTTATAGTCTGCAATCTGCGGTCTGCAGATGTCATGTACGGCCCTGCTCATAACTTCTAGGGATGAAAATAAGGTCTTCAATTGACCACTCCAGAAAATCCATAACATACCATAATGCTCCTTGTTTGTCCCCAAAAATCTTGCAAAAGCATTGTTTTCAGTTTCTCTTAAGGCCATTTTAACTCCTAAGAGAAACTGAAAAGAAAGCTTACGCAAAATTTTTGGGTGACAAACAAAGAGCATTATGGTATATGTTATGGTATTTTCTGGAGCAGTCAATAATACAGGGCCTACACCTTAGGACAAAGGACCTTCTGTGATGAACAATAACATTCACAGCAATTGTTAAATTTCCTGCCTTATCCCAAGGTCTATGCACAATTTTGGTGGTGAGATACACCCCTGGTCCTAAGGCTAGATAAATAACTATCCAGGAGATAATTATTAGGGAAACAAATCGTGTTATCCACTGGTTAGCATTATCTACCTTTTGAACAACTAGTGGCTGTCTCATATTTCAAGGGCCTGTAGAGCAGTTTTTAAAGTGCGGGGGCAGGTGACAACCTCTTTTGAAGTGGGGGGCAAATTTGGCTGGTCTCTCTTTGTGGCTGTTTAAAACTGTCAGATTACTGAACTTTTCTTGATTCATTGTTGAGTGGAGTCATGTTTATAAATTTCAAGCTGCTGAAAAGTACCTTTCTCCGGCTGAGCCTGATTGCACATGCTGGATCCACCACTAGAAGTTTGCAGATCATGATTTTACAATGATGTAGGTTCCTGTAACCCCTTCATTTTGTCTAGTATGTCATCGAAATGCATCAGAGACAACGAAATGCATCAGAGACCACATCATCAGCCGATATCATTCATTTTAAGAAACCGTAGTTCATGGAGTAGTCTTCAGCTGATTTAATCGAGAACTTTCATCAAAAAAGACTATTTCACATCGTTGCAAATGCTACATATGGCCTTTCTGGTTTGAAACTACAGATAGGCGTTTTGAGACTTACTACGCATTAGATACTATTTATATGAAAGTGTATATTACAATGGAGCCTCTATAACGAAGTCCTCGGTGTAATGAACTATTTTTTTGCCTCCAGAAGTGGTAAAATATAAGGCAATATGAAAAAGAGCCTCAATATATGTTAACGAACCTCGTTATAATGAACATATTTTGCCAGTCTCTAAGCCCTTCATTATATCGACTACCCATAAGCTCCTCCTAGACAAGACTGGAAGAGGAAGGGACCTTTGTAGCAGCTTTGATATTCATAAAGTGGTGGCCATTTTGTCAACAGATAAACAGTTATCCACAGACACCTATTAAGTCAGTCAGTCTAACATTTTGTTTTATAAAAGCTGCTTTGTGGCTGCTAAAGGTCTCTTTCTATTACCTGTATCTAGGAAGATTAGAAAGGCTGTCCTCACAGGCTACATGTAGGTCAACCTCTGATCATCAGAAATCTATCTGATAATCATGATAAAAGTTTGGGGTTTCCCACTGAGTCTGAACTGTGAAGTATTTTCCTCTTGTCTAAGAGCATGGCTTGTATTACTACTCAGCGATTCAGAACTACGTTCACCAGACTGGCTACTTGCCATCCCTGCTGCAAAACAGGACAGTAGTAATGCTGTTTGGTTCTCAGGCTGGAAAAACATAACTTGACCATGTAGCTGTAACAGTCAAAGGACACCTCCCTAGGAGATTATAGTATTTATGCAAGAGAAAACATTGGGGAAGTGGGGATGATAGTAGCCTGCGAACAGCAGACGTATTTCCGGTCGTCGCTAATGTTTTCAGAGGGAGAGAAGCGATGACCGGAAATGCGTCTGCTGTTCACAGGCTAGGATGACATGTACAGTTGTCATTCAATATTACAGTTGTATTGATTGTAGTATATTTTCGTGAACCATTGGGGCGCAGGGCCTCAATTGCTCAATTTATAGATGCACAATCACCTGGTGTAAAGTCTAGAACCAAGGATCACTTAAATTACATGGTTTTCTTTTTCATTTGATCCCAGGCACAAACCCTCGAGACTGACTTACATGAAAGTCAATTGTATTTCTCTTGTGCCCATTAATTGTAAACAGAGAGTACAGACATGTGCACAGACTCATGCAAACACCTAAATTGTACAAGTTTTTGCCAGTTTCTGTGGTAAAAGTTAGGAGCCTAGTTACACAGAACTGTACAAGTACAGGGGGCATAGAATTAGTTTAAAGAGCATAACAAAATACGATTTAGATTTAAACTAAGATTTTATTTCAAGTAGTTTAAAGCAAGTAAAATGTTATATGACCGGAAAAGAGGGCACAATATTACGTCATGAGTCACATTTGGAAAATCTTTCATCCTGTTCTAGGTATCCTTCATTAAGAATTTTGTTTTATTGCCTGTCAGTTGTACATTCTGAATACAAAAACCCCTTGAAATGGTAACCTTTGTGCCTGAAAAATTATCCTACATGGCTCATTCATTGTTGGGCATTTGTTTGATCAATCCTTTACAATAGGATCAACTGCAGAGAAGTGGTTATGAATAAGTTTTTCTGGTAACACATGAAAGTGAGAAAACCTGTTGAAGCATGCTGAAAACTATGTGAGCTAACCAAATAAATGGCAGGAAGTGTAAAAAATGTCATCTGTTTTTGCAGGGTGGCTGTAATTGCTGTTTTTACAATGCTGATTGGATTTGCTGCAATTAAACTTATGTTTTATGGTAAGGTTACACCAAATCTAATATTGTTAGGTCCAAAAATAATCCTATCACAGCAGAACCCTGTTCAAGTGACCACAGTTGTGCCACAAATTCATGCTATAATGACAAGGTGGTCAAACAGCATGTTCATATTGCGGGGTTCCATGGTAATTATTGTAAATTTTGGGGGATGGAGCTAAATGAAGTGTCTATAACAAAAGATTTGTCTGTAATATAATAGAAGTGATTTTGTGATAAGAATCAGTACATGTTCACCTTTTTTTATGCATCATCAGCATTGCAGGTGGTTTTTGTTTTGATCTCAAAAAAATGAAGGAATTATTACTGAGCCCTGTAAAGAAAACTGTTGTAATCACTTCAATGCATATGGCTTTCTTGGAGGAATGACAAAAACTTGAAACCTTTTATTTTTAAGTAATTTCTAGTGTTCTTGTTTCTTGTATATTATTATTATTATTATCAGGTGCTGAAAAAAGAAAGAAGGCCAGTGACACAGCTACACAACCCACATAAAAATCAGTGAATCTCACAATTATTGGGAATTTATGGACTTGCTTCCACCTTGTGCCAAACTCACAGCAAAGTCAAATGGGATAACAAGAAAAAAAGACAGCTCCATGTGAAAGTAACTGCCCAAAAGCTCCCCTTTAAATAGTCATATAACAATAATGCAGATGAGAGTGACTAAAGACAATGCCACACCAAACGCACGTTCTCTGTAATTAGGAATATGGAATTTATTACTAAGGAATGGCTCTCCCGCAAGCCAGAAACCATGAAAAGAAACTAAACTGAAAAAGATCAGTGCCACATACGCCATAATGTTTAAGACAATATTATTGTAGTAAAAGCAAAACGTACTGTACCACAGGTGTTGTTTTATTCCTGAAAGAGTTCGTTCAGAGTATTTCTAAAACACTTGTATGCATTGGGCACAATAAAGGGGTTTTCTTGGTGTAAGCTTCACTGACACCCATTGGTAGACAGAAGCCATTGTCTTAACTTAGTCTGTAACAGTTTGGCTAGTTGGGGCGCAACAAAAAGGAAGAGGTCTTGCACAGTGTCTTGTGTGTTGATATAATGAAAATGCTCTTAATTGAAAAATAAACACCAACATTTCAGCAATGCTGCCTTTGTCAGATAAATTATGTATGTTAAATTGATGCATGATTGAAGGGCGGAAGGAAGCCCCAGATGTACAAGTGCAGAGCCGTAGCTTGTGGGGTGGTGGGGGAAGGTTGGGACAAATCAAGTCTGTGGATGGATTTGTTTTCTTTAGACTCTATTTTTGTTATAGTGACTTGCAATTGTTTGCCATTTTCATATTGGAGGTGTTTTTTTTCGGAGACATATCTTGTGACAAGTGCTGAAAATAACGTTTTGGATCCTCCACATTTGAAAATTTTTTGGGGGGGGACCGCCAGACGCCCCTACATGAACATTTACATAAAGATGATTTTCTTCAAGGGGCTATAACTATGTAGGCTTTTTTTGCAGCACATGGGTACCCCCATGACTTAACAAGAAGAGCATGACTCCAAGCAGAAGCAAGAGGGCTGATTTATTAGCCACAATCTCAGGTAATACCCTCACCTTGCCCAACACCATGCCCTGGTCACCACATACAACCCCTAGAACATTGCTGTCTGCAATATCCTACTGTAGAATAGCACCAAACTACAGAATGATGGTAGGACAAAAGCCACCTTTCCAGTATGTGGACACCCTTGGTACAACCAAAGGTGGCTTGTGCCAGTTTCTCTCCTGTGGGGAGTCCAGTGGGCGCGTGCATCACACTAGCTATGCTGGAGGTTAACAAGACAAATATAGCAGCAAATGGCTGCTTTCATTAAGGTTAATCAATTTGGCCTACCGCCTCCGTCGCGTGAACACACCAAAAAAGGCAAACCCTAGTGAGCGAGACCCACTGTGCGTTTGATGTATAGCGGCGAGCTAAATTGGCAATGAAGAAAAGGCAAACTGCATGTTGATTCACATGAAACGCCACTGCAAACAAGTTAGTCCATTCCACTTCACCCTTTCCCTTAATTATATGTTTTTAGGGAGCTTAAGCAACGATGACGGCAACGACAGCGAGAAAAGTTACACACAAAGTGAATTCGCGCTGTTTTAAACTTCATAAATCTTATTCTAACTCTTTTAATTTGTCGAAATGTTGGCGATATTTTTAGAAAGCGGCTGTTTCTATAAGTTCACAAAAAGAAAAAGAAAATCGTTGTCTTGCGTTCACGTCCTCTATAAAACGTGAAATTAGGCATTTTCACGTCGTGGTAAGTCGTGTAGTGACATCAAAGAAATGAGCAAAAAAGCGTGATGCACGTGGAAAGATGTTGTTTTGCTAATCTAAACCTATTGCTTTTTGCCGTTCTCGTAGCCGTCGCCATCGTCGTCGCCGTCGGTAGTTTCTTAAGCTCTCTATTTAAAGTGAGACGGGGAGGCTGTATTTGCAAGCTACTAAACGTTTTGTTGAATTGAATAACCTGACAAAGGTAAATTAGCCTTTGCGATTCTCTGCACGCAAATAGCCAGATGCACAAGTGTATACAATAACCACTGTTATGGTCCACATAGATCAATTTGACCCAAGTTAGTGACCCATCTAAACCAAATTACGCAAGTGACTTCACTAGTCCTCAAGGCACCCAACAATGGTAACTGACCCACAAAACCCAACTACACCAAATATACCACCCAACGAGGCCGAATGGGTCATGGGTACCCTACTGGGCCGATCAAAAGGGTCCCAACTAAGCCAGACAACACGTGGCTACAACGGGCTTGGCAGCATAAGTGTCATAACTACGCCAAATGGCTCAAGGAAAGGGTCTAAAAATTTAGTGACCACAAACCACTTCAAAGAATCAGAACTTGAAGTAATGGCTAATCAGAGCCGGCTGGTAAATGACCTAAGAAAGCCAGCTTTTCCAATCAGCTGTATTACTACCAATTGCTCAAGGAGGGCTGTGTCTCTACTGCAGTCAAAATTATTTTTATTTAAACAGTTGCAGTCATTTCAGTCTCTATATTTACAACTGACATCTGAAAAACAAATCTCGTTTACACTCAGTGAGTAGGATATAGCTCTAATAAATACAACCATTGAGAACACAGACAACTTTATACATTTCTAGAACGTTGTGAAAAACGTAAAACACCACTTACGTATTTACAAGCTACAAACACAGGAAGTCGCGATTGATGAGAAGAGTTCGTTCACTTTGTTTCCTCACCTTCAGTTTGTTTATCTTCCTTCTCTGCCTGGCCACTATTTTCATCTTTGGCAACATCGTCCGTTTTCTGACTATCATCAGGTTTTACTTCATCAGCAACTGTCTCCTTGGATTCCTCTGCTGCCTGAGCCTCGACCGGTTTGCTTTCATCATTCGCATTTTCATTACCTTCTTCAGAACTTTGATTATTCTCTGGTTTAACCTCATCATTTACACTATCTTTCACGTCTTCAGAAGGAGAACCCTCATCAGGTTTGACTTCTTCACTTGCATTCTCTGTTGTCTGAACATCGTCTGGTTTGCTTTCAGCACCAGCGTTCTCGCTAACCTGTTCCGACCCTTGACTATCATCTGGCTTGCTTTCATCATTTGCAACCTCTTTAACTTCTTGAGTCGCCTGAGCTTCCTCTTGTTGGCCTTCAATGGTTTCTGTCTCTGGTGCTTGCTGACTCACAGCAGCAGACTCCTCATCTTTCGGTTCGCCCTGTTCGACAGTATTATTTTCTGCTGTCACATCAAGCTGCTCATGCTTCTCTTGTTGTTGGCCAGTGGCTTGCGACTTATCTGAAATATTAAAGCATAAAATGATCAAACAAGCCGAAAAAAGTCCGTTTTCAATTTTAAAGAGGACCAGAACACTGAAGAAGGAAAAATGCTAGCTATAACTTGTTGCCTTGAAGATCATTTTGAAACACCGACGTTTTAGAGCCCTGGGTAAAGAATATTCAATGCTTTCTTTTCTCTTTTAGTGAGAAAAACCAAAGAACGACACTGTACTTAAAAATCAACATCCAAAAGAGGTGGTCAATCTGTTAGTTCTGAATAAACTCTGTTAAACCAACTCGCTACCGAAAAGTAAATAGGCTTAGCACTATGAAGGGTGTTATTTTTACTTAGTCTGTTACTGTGGTTCTGGTTTTCATGAACAACTTCCATCTCACGCTGACGATTGATTCAATGCAAATTTACTTAGACCGTGTTTAAGGTTTTCATTAAAGTGCACCAAGTGCCGTGCAACATCATAAATGGTAACAAAATATTTCTCAAACTTACCACACCATGGGATTCTTAACGAGTAACCTTGATCTATCTGTTGCATTCCCATGCTGGTCATAACGTTATGTTCAGAGGAAATTTAGCAGGTTATGGTTAGTTTGCACATGTAACGTGGAAGTGATTATGTCAATTTAGTAACTCCTTGTTGAAGTTTCTTAATAAATGAATACTTTTATCTTTTCAGTGAATGATGGTCTTAGTAATATCCAAAGTAAGTCCGTCACTCAGTTTAATCATTTAGAGAGCTCTTTACCTGTAGGATAGGATGAAGGCAATAAAATACCAAAAGACAAACATGTTTATGTATATTTTATTTCCGAGTCATCTCTTTCACTCTGATTTCCTCGACCAAATGATTAGTAGTAATTATTGTAATTATGTTAGATTGTCAAGAATACCGTATCAATTTATTACAATGGGATCTATTAAATAATTAATACAACTTTAAATGAAATCACACGATGCTTCGCAATGATAGGAAGAGCCGAACTGATAGCTTTACCAACTTTTATCATAGTTGTCCTTTACCTACAGTTTCTTTTGTTATTACATGATTTTCTTCCTTCTCACAAAACTGGGGATTTGTTATTCAACTTGTTAGAGATAAGTTTGTTAAATAATGCTACAAATTACAAAACATTCATTTTTAAGAAACTGGTTAAGATTGTAAGTTACATGACAAAACTGTATTTTAAAATCAGCGTCTCGATTTTAAAACTAATAGAAGCATTTACGTTAACTGACTGCATCTTCCTTTTTACGATATGAACCACTCCTTGGGGTGTGAGAATGANACATGTTTATGTATATTTTATTTCCGAGTCATCTCTTTCACTCTGATTTCCTCGACCAAATGATTAGTAGTAATTATTGTAATTATGTTAGATTGTCAAGAATACCGTATCAATTTATTACAATGGGATCTATTAAATAATTAATACAACTTTAAATCAAATCACACGATGCTTCGCAATGATAGGAAGAGCCGAACTGATAGCTTTACCAACTTTTATCATAGTTGTCCTTTACCTACAGTTTCTTTTGTTATTACATGGTTTTCTTCCTTCTCACAAAACTTGGGATTTGTTATTCAACTTGTTAGAGATAAGTTTGTTAAATAATGCTACAAATTACAAAACATTCATTTTCAAGAAACTAGTTAAGAGTGTAAGTTACATGACAAAACTGTATTTTAAAATCAGCGTC